GGATCCTCGGAACCACCACAAGATAAGGTGGTATAAGGGGGGGGAGGGAGGTTTGAGGGGAAAGGTAAAGGGGGAACCAATCTCCACGTCTGACATGTGGATTGGCTATTCACCTCAATTTAAGTTCCAATCCTTGCATGTGTTCGATTCTCTTGGACAAGCCTCACTGCCGTCGTGAGCCTTGAAGGTGTTGCAGAGTCAATAACATCAGAGGCCATGAGGCTCACGAAGCCTCTACATCTTTACTCAGCTGGTATTTAGTAAACAGTTTACGAGAGGTTGTCTATCGGGGTAATAACCTTAAGTGGAGACCCACCTCGAGGTTTTCCCAATCTGGTAAACTGTTTAATAAGTCATAACTAAGCGGTAATCACTGAAGAGAAGTAATCAGTCAAACTGTGCCTGGAAGGTGACTACTACTGGGTAGACAGTCAAGCTGGCGAGACATACCAGAGAGTAGAGTATACTAAGTATATTATGCTTGGCTTCCCTTACTTTCAAGCTCTAAGCTTATATTTTCTTGTCCGTATATCTAATCATACCCTTAATCTGGTTATGATTTCCAAGCTCACATTTATTTTCGTTTTTTTATTATGCGTGAACTTTATTTGATTTTTGACTGTAAATTTGAAAATTTTCAAAAATTTTCAGGTCTATAATTTATTTGTTTTTTTGGTCAACACACGAACTGCCTCGAGAAATTTGAGGAAGGATAAATTTCAGGATATATATAGCACTGGGACTATATAGCACTGGGACTATATAGCACTGGGACTATATAGCACTGGGACTATATAGCACTGGGACTATATAGCACTGGGACTATATAGCACTGGGACTATATAGCACTGGGAGTATATAGCACTACTATAGCACTGGGACTATATAGCACTGGGACTATATAGCACTGGGACTATATAGCACTGGGAGTATATAGCACTGGGACTATATAGCACTGGGACTATATAGCACTGGGAGTATATAGCACTTGGACTATATAGCACTGGGACTATATAGCACTGGGACTATATAGCACTGGGACTATATAGCACTGGGACTATATAGCACTGGGAGTATATAGCACTGGGACTATATAGCACTTGGACTATATAGCACTGGGACTATATAGCACTGGGACTATATAGCACTGGGACTATATAGCACTGGGACTATATAGCACTGGGACTATATAGCACTGGGCACTGCACTGGGACTATATAGCACTGGGACTATATAGCACTGGGACTATATAGCACTGGGACTATATAGCACTGGGACTATATAGCACTGGGACTATATAGCACTGGGACTATATAGCACTGGGACACTATATATAGCACTGGGACTATATAGCACTGGGACTATATAGCACTGGGACTATATAGCACTGGGACTATATAGCACTGGGACTATATAGCACTGGGACTATATAGCACTGGGACTATATAGCACTGGGACTATATAGCACTGGGACTATATAGCACTGGGACTATATAGCACTGGGACTATATAGCACTGGGACTATATAGCACTGGGACTATATAGCACTGGGACTATATAGCACTGGGACTATATAGCACTGGGACTATATAGCACTGGGACTATATAGCACTGGGACTATATAGCACTGGGACTATATAGCACTGGGACTATATAGCACTGGGACTATATAGCACTGGGACTATATAGCACTGGGACTATATAGCACTGGGACTATATAGCACTGGGACTATATAGCACTGGGACTATATAGCACTGGGACTATATAGCACTGGGACTATATAGCACTGGGACTATATAGCACTGGGACTATATAGCACTGGGACTATATAGCACTGGGACTATATAGCACTGGGACTATATAGCACTGGGACTATATAGCACTGGGACTATATAGCACTGGGACTATATAGCACTGGGACTATATAGCACTGGGACTATATAGCACTGGGACTATATAGCACTGGGACTATATAGCACTGGGACTATATAGCACTGGGACTATATAGCACTGGGAGTATATAGCACTGGGACTATATAGCACTGGGACTATATAGCACTGGGACTATATAGCACTGGGACTATATAGCACTGGGACTATATAGCACTGGGACTATATAGCACTGGGACTATATAGCACTGGGACTATATAGCACTGGGACTATATAGCACTGGGACTATATAGCACTGGGACTATATAGCACTGGGACTATATAGCACTGGGAGTATATAGCACTGGGGCTATATAGCACTGGGACTATATAGCACTGGGACTATATAGCACTGGGACTATATAGCACTGGGACTATATAGCACTGGGACTATATAGCACTGGGAAGGGATCAGGCTAAGGATTTGGTATGGGACGGGGGGGGGGGGGAGGGAGGAATGGTGCCCAACCACTTGTGGACGGTCGGGAATTGAACGCCGACCTGCATGAAACGAGACCGTCGCTCTACCGTCCAGCCCAAGTGATTGGATAATAATTGACAAGAATTAACATTTACATTACAATTTAATACCACAAGTCTACGTTACACACACTTATACCAACCCATAAATGGGTCTGTCACTTATACTTATATAAGGCCTTGGTCTCCCCCCCCCCACGTCACTATAATCTCTCTGAGAACAGTGATTAACCTTAGAGGTTAATGAGGATAACTTTCCCAGTGGGCAGAGTATCTCTTGAACCTTCACTTGTACACCGCCTCCCTCAGCACCCTCACCTGAGACTGAGGCTGAGGCTGAGATACCTCCAAAGGATACCTGATCAACCAGGCTGTGACTCGTACGTCAGGCTGCGAGCAGCCGCGTCCAACAGCCTGGTTGATCAGTCCGGCAACCAGGAGGCCTGGTCGACGACCGGGCCGCGGGGACGCTAAGCCCCGGAAGCACCTCAAGGTAACCTCAAGGTAGGTAAGGAGATGCAGCCGTGGATGAGAGAGAGGAAGTATCGCACGTATAAAGAAGATGAGGAATAGAGAAAGAGGAGGAAGGGAAAGTCGACAAGGAAGGGAAGGTTCGGTAGGAAGGGAAAGAGACCAACAGAGAAATAGGTAGACAATCTAAGGGAAAAATATTAATGTAGTTTGTAAAATTAAGATCTTCGTCTCAGACCAGAGGCTTCCATACGGATCACCAAGTACAACCAAACGACTCCTAGATGTCATATAGCTACTTGGCCAAGGCTTAGTACCTCTGGGAGTTTGCTCTACCTGTGGATGGAAACCTGGACAAATGTAAACAGTTTGTACAATCTACAATGAAGGGAGAAAATAACTAATAGATAATTCTATCTCAAATGAATATGTGCTAGAAATTAAAAATACATTTTTTTTTAAAAACTGATATTCCATACTAATGTAATTTCTCGAACTGCAATGCCAAACTACTGTACTACTTGCCGCTGCCCTCTGGGGGGTGTGGGCGAGCAACTCCATTGCACAATCCACGTAACTACTGTAGTTCATCAGAAATGTAAATTGCTTAACTAAAAGACCATTTGGGGGGGGGGGGGTCCAGTTTCTGGGGCCCATTATATGGCCCTGGAGCCTTCTTGGGCCCCCAACCACACGATGGATTTAGAGTCCATAATAAACTAATTAAACTTACTCAAATCGTGTACCGAGGTTCGAGTGGAACCCAACATGTGCTACGATGCTTCCTATTCTTTACTATCCCCTTCTCCCCCCCCCCCCTCCCCCCCCTCTCCATCCCCACTACATGCTAATGACCCCCCCCCCCTCCCACCACCCCCCCCACCCCCGCGCCGCCTGGCACAATCACTGTCATTACTGAGGATACAATCAGTGACCGTTGCGTGCTCCGCTCAAACTTCTATCTAATTGTTGCCTCCCGAACCCTGTCTTCTAGGCAGCATGGAGCCTAAGTACCTCGCAATACCCCCCCCCCCCGCCCCCCCACACACACACACATATACATACATATATACATATAATCTCCCGCCTGGCGGAGTGAGAAGGCCGGCTGGATACATGGTATCTCCTCAATATATAGCAACCAACTATGTATATATATATATATATATATATATATATATATATATATATATATATATATATATATATATATATATATATATATATATATATATATATATATATGTTTAGGGGTACCACCACTGGTTTAATAAAAGGGACCCACATCCTCGAAGAAGGAAATAAATAGTGTTCAGAGAAGATCTTGTGGATTCTCACTGAATACTTTAATCTTGGAGATCCATTCACACATAACTTCCTCTGGTGCTTATATTCGAACACTGGAAGCAAGAGGAACAACATTTCCTCTTCCCTCTTGATGCTTTATAAAGGCCCATTAAGTCCACTTATCTCGCCAGAGTAGCGTTTCGGAACAGGCTGTAGAAAGATGAGAAGTGTGACACTACAATTCACTTTAGCTGGACGTTGAACCAGCCATAAAACTGGTGCTTTATGGCTTCTGGCTGTTAAGGTCTCTGACCACATCCCAGACATAACTTTTGTGTAAAAGAAACTTACATGAAAATTTACATATTCGGTAGACATTGGCCTAAAGTAACCCACAGTACTTGTGATGGTACTTAACTAGTACTTACAGAGGTACTTGGCTATTTCTACAGTCCAGCTACTTGGACTTGACGGTAGAACGATGGTCTCGCTTCTTGCAGGTCGGCGTTCAATTCCCGACCGTCCCAGCAAGTGGTTGGGCACCATTCCTTCTCCCCGTCCCATCCCAAATTCTTATCCTGACCCCTTCCAAGTGCTGCACAGTCGTAATGGCTTAGTGCTTTTTCCCAGTAATTACCCCGTCTTTGCCCAGTACTTATGTAAGTTCTTAGCCAGCACTTACGGAGCTGCTAACCCATTACTTAGGGAGGCACTTACCTAGTACTTAAGGAGATACTTACCTTAGTACTTACACGGGTAATTACCCAGTACTTATGGAGGTTTCTTTAATAAGTATTTTAGGTTTCCTGCCACCTATCTGGTAATACCAGATTAATAAGTTATAATCAATCTTGCAATATTAATACCAAGTTTCTCATCACCACTAAGTGTTCCATCGCCACCAAGTGTTCCATCACCACTAAGTGTTCCATCACCACTAAGTGTTCCATCACCACTAAGTGTTCCATCACCACTAAGTGTTCCATCACCACTAAGTGTTCCATCACCACTAAGTGTTCCATCACCACCAAGTGTTCCATCACCACTAAGTGTTCCATCACCACCAAGTGTTCCATCACCACTAAGTGTTCCATCACCACTAAGTGTTCCATCACCACTAAGTGTTCCATCACCACTAAGTGTTCCATCACCACCAAGTGTTCCATCACCACCAAGTGTTCCATCACCACTAAGTGTTCCATCACCACCAAGTGTTCCATCACCACCAAGTGTTCCATCACCACTAAGTGTTCCATCACCACCAAGTGTTCCATCACCACCAAGTGTTCCATCACCACTAAGTGTTCCATCACCACCAAGTGTTCCATCACCACTAAGTGTTCCATCACCACCAAGTGTTCCATCGCCACCAAGTGTTCCATCACCACTAAGTGTTCCATCACCACTAAGTGTTCCATCACCACTAAGTGTTCCATCACCACTAAGTGTTCCATCACCACTAAGTGTTCCATCACCACTAAGTGTTCCATCACCACTAAGTGTTCCATCACCACCAAGTGTTCCATCACCACCAAGTGTTCCATCACCACTAAGTGTTCCATCACCACCAAGTGTTCCATCACCACTAAGTGTTCCATCACCACCAAGTGTTCCATCACCACCAAGTGTTCCATCACCACTAAGTGTTCCATCACCACCAAGTGTTCCATCACCACTAAGTGTTCCATCACCACTAAGTGTTCCATCACCACCAAGTGTTCCATCACCACTAAGTGTTCCATCACCACCAAGTGTTCCATCACCACTAAGTGTTCCATCACCACCAAGTGTTCCATCACCACTAAGTGTTCCATCACCACCAAGTGTTCCATCACCACTAAGTGTTCCATCACCACTAAGTGTTCCATCAACATCAAATTCCCCATCAACACTGATCTTAACAAATTCACAAAGACCTGAAAGTCGTAGCATTAAACATTGTGAAAAATATCGTGACAAGACATACATATATGGAACAAATAAAGCAAGAACTCATCAATGTGATGTTATAGTAGGCTGGAATATAGACGTATCAGTCGTGTGGACTTACCTCTCAAAACCCAAATGTGGAGTACACAATGTGTCAACTTTGTGAAAGAGAAAACATGCACTCCCTTGAACATTATAGTGTAGAATGTCCCATACTGACTGACTTTCGCCCTCCTGGGCTGAGGTATGCTGAACTCTGTATGCTATATGAATACTGGAACACTTGATGGTATATTGGACTTGTTCCCAAGATTGACTATGTAATGCATAGTTATACAATGTTTGTCACGTAACTATAACCTGAACTTGTAAAAGCATCTTAATCACCTTCAGTGGTTAAGTGTTTAATAACACACTAGTTTCTGTCGCAGCTATCTTACCCTGTCAAAGTGGGAGAGACATAAATGTAGTGTATATATGTATGTGTGTATGTGTATGTATGTATGTATGTATGTATGTATGTATGTATGTATGTATGTATGTATGTATGTATGTATGTATGTATGTATAATGACACTTCGAACACTGTTTATGTAGGTCAGACGAAAATTTGTGTATTTATATATCTATATATGTGTAGCTGAGATTAGCATTGGATAAGCCCTACAATCACCTTCTGTGGTTGATTGTTCAATAAATCACTGAACCATACGTTTAACAGCTCACTAACCCTGTCCTGGGAGAACAGAATAAAATGTATATATGCTGGTTAGCATTGTAAATGAATGGCCACGTCTGTGGAATAAAATAATGATAACCAAAAAATAAACTGATAAGCCACGTCACCATGGCAACAAGTCACAGGAACAGGATGGCCAATATATGCTCATTATTCGTCTCAGCAACGTTCCTAAATGAGTTTTGTTTATACTGAGACACAAACACTGAATGCTCCTAGCAACAGTGAATGTTTAAACCTCCTAAGATTTCAAAGCAAAAGTTTTTCTATTTCCTAGGAGTCCCTAGTAAGAATGACTGTGTATACATCCTAGGGATTCCTAGGAAGGGTGACTTTATACTTAGTAGGAGTTCCTAGCAGGAGTAAGTGTGACCACCATAATGCATTTCCTAGCAAGGGTGAATGTGACCATCACGTAGGATTTCCTAGCAAGGGTGAAGGTGACCATCACCTAGGATTTCCTAGCAAGGGTGAATGTGACCATCACCTAGGATTTCCTAGCAAGGGTGAATGTGACCATCACCTAGGATTTCCTAGCAAGGGTGAAGGTGACCATCACCTAGGATTTCCTAGCAATGCTGTGTTTTACAGCATTGTTTTACAGCTTTTTTACAGAACAAACATTAAAGATGAACTTCCTCACATCAGCGTGAAAGATACGGATCTCTAGCTTTTCGTCCTCCTTCTGGAAATCTTTGTTTACACAGTCAATTCCTCTCTAAGTATTTTATGTATCGTGATCATGTGCCATGCTATCTTCTACAGGATTTTCTTATCTCTTCACTAAGAAGAGATAAGAAACGATTATTTTCTGATATGCTCACCCAACCGTTTGGGCTGGACGGTAGAGCGACGGTCTCGCTTTTTATGCAGGTCGGCGTTCAATCCCCGACCGTCCACAAGTGCTTAGGCACTATTCCTTTCCCTCCATCCCATCCCAAATCCTTATCCTGACCCCCTTCACAGTGCTACATAGTCGTAATCGTAATGGCTTGGTGCTTTCCCCCTGATAATTCTCTTCCCTTCCTTCGGTCTTACGCTTGTCATTATATCTCTTCACAGATCTTTTGACTTTTTATTTTCCTGAGCCGTCTCGTTCATCGCGTCGGGGATCGTGAGTCCTTTCGGGTCACCTTCACTACATGTGTAGCCCAGCAGCCCTGTGTCTGAGTAGTCTCCGTAGTCTCCGTAGAGTCTCACCAGGTGAGCCTGCACCACAGAGTTCTGTAATCCTCTTCCGTTACAGTTATCTTCGACAGTTTTTGCATTAGCAATGATCATTAACATGTATAGGAATTCATTTTTCCTCGAAGACGCTCGCATACGCTAAGAAATCCTACTGAGGGACCTCAGTTGTCTTTTCCAACGACTTTTAGTCATCCATCTTAGAGCACTGTATCCCATTCGGCAAGGATTTTGTTCATCTAGTTCAGATCTCAAGTTATTCCTTGAAGATATCTTCGATTCTATCAAATCAGGATAGAATCGAAGGTTTTTTGGGGGGATGGGATTCCATGAAGATATTTCCAATACATATTTTTTCTTTCTTGCATGATTCCTCTCGTAATATTTTTGAGTTTAAGATCTGTTCAGGACAGACTTGCTTTGAGGAACTCATCTTCTTTCTGACTACTTGGTTATTCACAGTCATCTTCTTTCTGACTACTTGGTTATTCACAGTCATCTTCTTTCTGACTACTTGGTTATTCACAGTCATCTTCTTTCTGACTACTTGGGTATTCACGGTCATCTTCCTTCTGACTACTCGGTTATTCACAGTCATCTTCCTTCTGACTACTTGGGTATTCACGGTCATCTTCCTTCTGACTACTCGGTTATTCACAGTCATCTTCCTTCCTTCCTCTCGTACTGTTCAGGACAGACTTGCTTGAGGAACTCATCTTCTTTCTGACTACTTGGTTATTCACAGTCATCTTCTTTCTGACTACTGATTCTCATCTTCTTTCTGACTACTTGGGTATTCACAGTCATCTTCTTTCTGACTACTTGGGTATTCACAGTCATCTTCCTTCTGACTACTCGGTTATTCACAGTCATCTTCCTTCTGACTACTTGGTTATTCACAGTCATTTTCGGCCTGATGTTTTTCTCGTCTGATTACGGTGTAATCATATAATTTCTATCTCTTATGCAGTTACTGTTGTTCTCACTTAGTCGTGTTCTGTGTTCTATTCACCTGTTCTTCCTGTAGCCCTATATCAGCGGTTGTTAAACCAAGGGTTGACGGATCTCTCCTGATTTCTTTGCCTTTCTGAAAGAGAACTTCCATCAAATTCTTCAGAGTTACATCTCGGAGCTTGTTCTCCGCTCCACACTCAACACTGTGCGTGTGTGTGTGTGTGTGTGTGTGTGCGTGCGTGTGCGTGTGTGTGTGTGCGTGTGTGTGTACTCACCTAATTGTACTTGCGGGGGGGTAATGTGGGGCGGGGGGGTGTGTGTGTTGTGTGTGTGTGTGTGTGTGCGCGCGTGCGTGTGCGTGAGTGTGTGTGTGTGTGTGTGCGTGGGAGCACCGCTGCGTACCAACATTTATTGTGGCATGCACTGAAAAACCTGATATGCACGTATGCAGGAATGATGTATTATATAGTGGTATTTCTTGTATATACGTTACAATAAATTTCAGTCAACCGTGTTTCGGGTGAGAGGGGGGGGGGGGGTAGAGGTGGGGTAGAGGAAGCATCGCGAGAAGAAGAACCAACACCACCACCACCACAACCACCACCCCCACCACCACCCCCACAGCCACCACCACTCTCAACAGCGCCACTGATTCAGGCATTTCCACCAAAGACCACTTTTTTGACCCCCTCGAGGTCCCGCGGGGCTCCCGAAGAACGACGCGACGGGCCAGCTAGTGCCAGGAGTCCAAGGGTGTTGACCTCGTCGTCCCTCGGGCTGTGATAAGGCAGGCTTCTGATAACACGACGCCTCGTGTCCCCGTTCAGGACCATGTGATTTATGGTGTCCAGTTATAGGGCCTTGGGTGGTTAGTGGGTGCAGGGGGCGGGGGGGGTTAGTGGGTGGGGTGGGTGATGGGTGGGGTGGGTGGGGTGGGAGACTAGATGGAATGGTAGACAGTTTGGGCTGTATACAGGGAGTAGGTAAAGGAAGGTCATGTACTAAGATACGTTTGATAGCAGGGTAAGCATCCTCTCCGGGACTCCATTTCTTGAGATTTTGGTCATCAATGTCAAAATGTCTCGTTACATCTGTATGGCTGATTCTAGATTCGCAGCTTCCACCCATGCCCACTCGTCCTACCTTCATCATACTGAATATTTCGATTTTTGTCTAGATTTTGTCTAAGAATCTTTGTATGTTGTGATCATATCCCCCTTTATCCCCTCCCCACTTTTTTTCAACGTAGCTTTCTCAGCTCTTCTTCATACATTAATCCTCCGATTTCAGGCCCAGAGCCTACTAACGTAGCCAACGTTTGACCTTTCGTTAGTGTCGTTTCGTTATTATTTACCTGGGGAGTCCAGATTTGAGCAACGTGATACAGAGCTCGTTGAGCACCGGAAAGTGTTCAAGGGCTGAAGGCTTCCTAAGCCAGGGTCACGTAGGCTACCTCAGTGTTTAACAGCTTTGTGGGGTGCCCCTGGGGTGGTATATGGAACCTCCAATCATAGGTTTGATGCTATATGACTATACTCCCAGATCCTTTCCCTTATATCACCCAAGTATGTGTTCCTTCATCTAGTATCTCCTAGAAGCCGCCCCACCCGCAGCCTCAATCGACAATCGACTTGAGAATGGTCCAGGACGGACCGAAACGTCGTCGTCCCTTCACCTTCTAGTGTGTGGTCTGGTCAAACACAGTCTCAAACCCATCTCCTTGCACTTGTTTGAGGTGACGTCAATTAACCATCATCACACGACCTTCCAACGTTGTCCAGATCGTTCTGGGATCTTCTGCAATGGTCCTCTGTGCTGGTAATACTTCATCAGTTATTAAATCGTCTGAAAATGTTAGTAGACAGGGATCTTGGTTTCATTCATTCAGGATGATAATGCCTTGAAATTGTTCTCTCTCACTATTACTTTCTGCCTCCTGTTGGAAAGGCTTGTCATCCACATCAATATATTTCTCTTACTTCTTTTGATACTCAAGTTATCAAGCCGATTTATGTGTGATACAATGTCGAAGGCTCTCCGGCAGTCCAGTAAAAGGCAGTCATCCCCCCCTACCTTTTTTCCTATACAAGTATGTCCTCTTTGTTCTCGCTTGGTTATAACTATC